AGCAATCACATTCCTTGCTATATCCACATGAGCTGAAAAGTATGTCCACAAAAAAATCTACAGAATAATGTTTATAACAGCTTTATTCATCATTGCAAAAGCCTGCAAGCAATGAAGATGTCTTTCAATAGGTGAATGGATGAATAAACTGTGGTACATGTAATCAATGAAATATTATCCAATGCTAAAAAATAATTGAGCTATGATGCCCTCAACAGACATGGAGGAACCTTAAATGCATATTACTAAGTGAAAGAAGCCAATCTGAAAAGGCCACATACTGTGCAATTTTAACTATGACATTCTGAAAAAAGCAAAACTAGAGAGACAAAAAAAATTTAGTGGTTTCCAGGGGTTGGGGGAAGGATGAAAGAAATAGTTGGAGCACAGAAGATCTTTAGGGCAGTGAAACTACTCTGTGTGATACTATAGTACGAGACACAGGTCTTTACTTATTTGCAAGAACCCAAAGAATGAATGAATGAATTCTAATGTAAACTACAGACTTCGGATGATAATGATGTTGCAGTGTAGATTCATCAACTGTAACATATGTACCATACTGGTATGCATGTTCACAGTGGGGAAGGCTGTGCATGTGTGGGGACAAGGGACATGATGAAAACTCCATACTGTCCACTTAATTTTGCTGTGAGCCTAAAACTGCTAAAAAAAAAAATAAGGTCTACTTAAAAAAAAGTTGTGCACATCTGAGCTACATGATATATTATGATTATATTTCTTCTCTTGTACAACTTTTTGCTTTCCTTGACGTTGATTATTGCTTTGTTTTGTTGTGGGCTTTCTACATTCCTAACATTAATTCTTTCTAAATCCTCCATTAGCAGTACAACATCACAATCAATTTTATTCTGCATGTTCAAACACACTTTATCAAATACATTCTTTTCCTGGAGACTTTTCTCCTGAAAGTTTCCATTTTTCTGCTAAACTCTGGACAGTTCTATAGATATGCTGTCCAAGAGTCACCCTTTGAATTTCTTTGATCTTAATTCTAGAAATCCCTTTGCTTTTTTCTCTTACTTTACTTTTTTGTTTTTAATTTAATTTAATTTGAAGTTCTGAGGTACATGTGCAGGATGTGCAGATTTGTTACACAGGTAAATATGTGCCATGGTGGTTGGCTGCACCTATCAACTCATCACCTAAGTATTAAGTATTAGTTATTTTTCCTGATGTTCTCCCTCCCCCTGTTCCGCACTCTCCAACAGGCCCCAGTGTGTGCTATTCCCCTCCCTGCGTCCATGTGTTTTCATTGTTCAGCTCCCACTTATGAGTGAGAACATGCAGTGTTTGGTTTCCTGTTCCTGTGTTAGTTTGCTGAGGATGATGGCTTCCAGCTCCATCCATGTCCCTGCAAAGGACATGATCTCATTCCTTTTTATGGCTGCATAGCATTCCCTGGTGTATGTATACTACATTTTCTTTATCCAGTCTATCACTAATGGGTATTTGGGTTGTTTCCATGTTTTTGCTGTTAAGACTTTACTTCTTTGGAGCAGATTCTCTCTTTTTCTCCTGGATGAAATATTCTGTTTTTTGGATCCCATATACTTCTTTTCCTTCACCTACTCATTCATTTTTTTGGAGAATATCTTTGTGATCTTTTCTGAGAAACGATGTAACTAAATTTTTGAGACTGTGTATCTTCATTCTGTGTCATTTGATTAATAGATTGGATGCATAAAGAATTTTAGGTTGAAAATAATTTTTCCTTTGACTTTTAAACATAGAGTTTCAAGCTCTTCTATCATCTATGTTGCTATTAAGAAGTTAGATATCATTCTTATTCCCAATCTGTTGTATGTAAATTGTATTTTTTTAAATTGTGGAAGCTTAAAGGATCTTCTCCTTATCTTTCCTGTTCTAAAATTTCACGGTGGTGAGTCTTTTTCACTAGTTGTTCTAGCATGTGATGAGCAAAGTCAATCCAAAAATATCTGGCCTTGAATTTTGGGAAATCTTAATATTTCTGTTTCTTCTAGTCTCTCTTTCTGGAACACTTTTATTTTGATAGTGAACTCCCTGGACTAATACCTAATATTGTTAGCATTTCCATCATATTTTCAGTCTTTTGCACTTACCTCTCTTACTTTTTGGTTTTATATCTTCAGAGGAAGGAAACACTGTCTAGAGCCTCAAAATATCTCCTATAGTTTTTGATATCCAATGTCCATCATTCATTCAAAACTTATCAGATACACCAAGAGACAAGACCAAGGGAAAAATAAACAGATAATAGAACTAGGCCCACATATAGATCCAAATATTGGAGTTGTGAGCTAAGTGCTTTAAAATAACTGATTAACATATTTGAGAAATGTGATAACAAGATGGAGGACTTTATCTTGTGAATGGAAACTACAAAACAGGATCAAATGAAATTCTAGAATAAAAAAAATAGTAACTGAATTTAAGAATGCTGAAGTATGCATTCATTCTGCTCTGAGATAAATGCCTACATGAATGCCCCAAGAGAAGTGTAGAAGACTGTTTCTAGCACCGTTATTCACAACAGCTGAAAATGGATAGATAAAATAAGTTGTATTCATTCAATAGTGTGCTATACAGTACTGAAAATCAGAAAATTACTGTTATGTGCCACAACATAAATGAATCTCACAAACAATATTTAGTACAAGAATGTATTCATGAAATATGTACTATGCAATTCCATTTATATAAATGTAAAAGATAAGTCATTAATCTGTTAAAAGTCAGTAGAGAGATTATCTCTTAGGAGAAGGCAGAAAGTAATGATTGGGAGGAGACATAAGCAGGCTGGTAGGATGTTTGTAATGCTTGATCTGGGTAGTGGTTACAGAAATGTGTTCACTTTGTGGTAATACCTCAAGTTGTACACTTATTATTTCTGCATGTTTCTATATGTATATAAAATTTATAATATAATAACACTTATAATACACCTCAATAAAATGCTTATTGAAGTAAAACAGAAACACATATTCTTATTTTATAGATGCAGTATCTTTTATTGACTCTGAAAGAACTACAGATATTCCCTATCATATCCATTTCCTTCTTGTTAATTTTGATGTCTATTAAGTGCCTGATGCACCCACGTTCAGAAGCTCACTGATTGAGTTTCTCCAGAGATTAAATCTCCTGTGGCTTGGTTATATGGAGTTAGAACAGGAATCTGGGGTCCTTCTATAGGAACCTATACAGAATTTTAACCAGTCTCCCTGTTTTTAGCCCACATCCTTACCCTGCCTTTGCCAGTATGTAAACCTGCAAATTCTTGAGCCTCTTTGAAATTCCTTGGCAAACCTCTCTATAAGCCTTAAGGTTTCAGTTTTCTTTGTTCTTCTAAGTCATTGCTTCATCTTATAAAATTTATAAACATCTCTTGTCCATTGCCTCCTCTCCCATATTCTTTATTTTGGTAGGTTTATGCCTTTTTTATTCCATATTGTAATTTTAGTGGGGCTTGAGGAAGGATTAGAGATTGAAACACGTATGTACTTTGCTATGTTTGATCCACTTTTTTCTTTACATTTGTTTAAAAATATTAATCAGGTTATGATTCACCTGCTATGATCTGATGTACACTGCACCAATATTTTTAAAAATTTTGAGGCTTCTTATTAGCTGGGTGCCATTTTAAAAAATGAAAACTTTCACTTTCTCATGTAGGCTGTAAGCGGTACATAAGATGAGCAGCCACACTGTGGTATGTGATCACTTTGGAGAGCTGTTAATGCACTGCTGTGTTTTATTATCAAGTGAAATTCATAGGCACAGTGTCCTGATACACAGTAAGCCACATCAAGATTTCTCACCCAGATGGAGCATAAATCTAAAGTCTAGATAGAAACTTCTAAGAATCACCTTTGACATCTTACATGCAGCCCTGCTTCCAGGGCTTCTAGAAGAATTGATTTAACAAGTAATAATCCCAGATGAAGATCAACAGGAGGCATCAGTATTCTTTCAATACTTTTGGTTGTTTAAAACCATCTTAGCAGTATGGTGTGCTACCTTATGAATTCCAGAGAGCTGAATTACCTGCAGAGTATATTTATAAACCAAATTATGAATAATTAATGTAAATATTTCTAGTCTTGCTAGAAATATGAGGAACTCAACTCTCTTTCCAGTTTAACTTGATCACTAGAAAATTAATAAGATTTCTCCTAAGTGACTTCCTGAAATGTACACAGAGTAATAAGACATTTTTGGATGCCCAACATCTTTTGCAAACTCTTCCTAATTTGGTGACTTTCCTACACAATGAGTCCTGTCACCTTAGTCAGAAATCAGACACCACTTTGCCAGCCTCCCTTGCAGCATGCAACCTAGACTCCACAAACTAGAAAGAGCCACACAAAACATTCTGAGTGGAGACAAACATGAAGACAAACACCTTTATCTACTTTTGATAAGGGTGGCAGGGAAGAAAACATCCTACTTTCAGGGGCTGCTGCAACAGAAATTATGGAACCTGTAGCCCAGCATTATGATGTGACTTACGGAGTCTCTGTAAAGTTGCAGTAGCTACTGGCAGTGGGTGGGGGTGGCAAGTGGATGGGGTTGTCCTTAGACTTAGTCTTGGGGGAGACTGTATTCTTCTCGACTACAGGCTCTAAGCTGACTCTCTAAATATCCTGGAGATTCTATGAACTGTCTAATTTCCTTAAATAAATTCCTTTTCTTTTTCAACCACCTAAAAAGGATTATGTTGTTTGCAACTAAGGAGCCTAAGGCAGATAGCAAGTGTTACCATAAAGAAAAATGAAAACAACCACAAAAAGATGATTAATTTTTTTTTGTGATATTCAGCTATGGTGAGAATAAACATTTGATCTAGAACAAAGAAATCAACATGACCGTGAACAAATTTACTTTAGCAGATATAAAATCAGATTGCTACCACACATTCATACTATCCCAAAGGTATGGCTAATTTTAAAAATACATCAGAGAATTAAAAAATCTTGATAACAACCTGAACTTACCATCTTTATCAGCAGTGTCTTGAGGCTTTGATTTTAAGGTGAAGATCTTCCGTAGCTTGCAGTTAGCTGAGACAACAATTCCATCCAATGACTGGAAAACTGCCCCCTTGAATATTTCACTGGTGAATGCTACCAAGTCAATGCATAGATTGCACCACTAAAATAGAGAGATGCAAAGAAGAGTAAGTACCTTTCATTTCACATAAATTAATAAGCCATCTATATGTAGATATCCAGAGAGTTGAGGCAGTTATCTTGTTCAACAGGCCCCAACTAATTTTCCCCTTTAGGTAAATTTATCTCTGTTTTGGCTTAAAAACAGACTTGCTCCTTCTAAAGAAATCACTGTAATTCTACATTATACATTGGTCATCTGACTACAGAATTCCCATCATCAGACAAGGCCATGACAACTTTTGGAAATAGCTCTCTATTTTGTAGGCAGTATGCCAGCAGGAAGCCAAATGCAGGTGCAATTACATCTAGAAAATCGCTTACATCTAGAAAATCACAGATAAGTAGTGAAGTGTTCCTTCAAGGGGCCTAATTTGATCACAATTAGCCACTCAAATTTGTTGAAAAAGGCATGGATGATATTAGAGGCTGGGTTTAAATTTTGGTCAGTGTTGTGTACTTATAACCAATTAACCTATTGTACAGAAATAGATTCTTCTAAAGAATTTGTAGTTACGCCTGATATTTGCCAGTTTTAAAAGTACTCTTGCAGGGACTGATTTCTGCCCGTTAAACAATTAGACCCCTCAATACTTCATCAAATGACTTTTCTAAATGGTTAAAGATAACAACAAAAAAATCATTCAGCAAGAAATAAAGACATATTTACGACTGTAGGACAAAAGTCAGAAAAATAATTTTTGAAAAAAATATATTTTTTATTTTACTTTTAAGTTCTGGGTTACATGTGCAGACGTGCACGTTTGTTACATAGGTATACACGTGCCATGATGGTTGGCTGCACCCACCCACCTATCATCTACATTAGGTATTTCTCCTAATGCTATCCCTTCCCTAGCTTCCCGCCCACTACCCCATGACAGGCTCCAGTGTGTGATGTTCCCCACCCTGTGTCCATGTGTTCTTATTGTTCAACTGCCACTTATGAATGAGAACATGCAGTGTTTGGTTTTCTGTTCTTGTGTTAGTTTGCTGAGAATAATGGATTCCAGCTTCATCCATGTCCCTGCAAAGGACAGGAACTCATCCTTTTTTATGGCTGCATAGTATTCCATGGTGTATATGTGCCACATTTTCTTTATCCATTCTATCATTGATGGGTATTTGGGTTGGTTCCACGTCTTTGCTATTGTGAATGGTGCTGCAGTAAACAGAAGTGTGCATGTGTCTTTATAGTAGAATGATTTATAATCCTTTGGGTACATATACAATAATGGGATTGCTGGGTCAAATGGTATTTCTAGTTCTAGATCCTTAAGGAATCGCCACACTGTCTTCCACAATGATTGAATTAATTTATACTTCCACCAACAGTGTAAAAGTGTTTCTATTTCTACACATCCTCTCCAGCATCTGTTGTTTTCTAACTTTTTAAGGATCACCATTCTAACTGGCATGAGGTGGTATTTTATTGTGGTTTTGATTTTCATTTCTCCAATGACCAGTAATGATGAGCTTTTTCCGTATGTTTCTCGGCTGAATAAATGTCTTCTTTTGAGAATTGTCCGTTCATTCCTTCACCCACTTTTTCATGGGGTTGTTTTTTTTCTTGTAAATCTGTTTAAGTTCTTTGTAGATTCTGGATATTAGCCCTTTGTCAGATGGATAGATTGCAAAAGTTTTCTCCCATTCTGTAGGTCACCTGTTCACTCTGATAAGAGTTTCTTTTGCTGTCCAGAAGTGCTTTAGTTTATTTAGATCCCATTTGTCTATTTTGGCTTTTGTTGCCATTGCTTTTGCTGTTTTAGTCATGAAGTCTTTGCCCATGCCTATGTCCTGAATGGTATTGCCTAGGTTTTCTTCTAGGGTTTTTATGGTTTTAGGTCTTATTTTTAAGTCTTTAATCCATCTTAATTTTTGTATAAGGTGTAAGAAAGGGATCCATTTTCAGCTTTCTGCATATGGCTAGCCAGTTTTCCCAATATCATTTATTAAAGAGGGAAGCCTTTCCCTATTGCGTACTTTTGTCAGGTTTGTCAAAGATCAGATGGTTGTAGATGTGTGGTGTTATTTCTAAGGCCTCTGTTCTGTTCTATTGGTCTATAGATCTGTTTTGGTACCAGCACCATGTTTTTCTTACTGTAGTATTGTAGTATAATTTGAAGTCAGGTAGCGTGATGCCTCCAGCTTTGCCCTTTTTGCTTAGGATTGTCTTGGCTATGTGGGCTCTTTTTTTTTCCAGTTCTGTCCAGGAATTTATCCATTTCTTCTAGATATTCTAGTTTGTGTAGAGATGTTTGTAGTATTCTCTGATGGTAGTTTGTATTTCTGTGGGATTGGTGGTGATATCCCATTTATCATTTTTTATTGCATCTATTTCATTCTGCTCTCTTTTCTTCTTTATTAGTCTGGGTACTGGTCTATCTATTTCGTTGATCTTTCAAAAAACCAGATCCTGGATTCACTGATTTTTTTGAAGGGTTTTTTTTTTTGTGTGTGTGTGTCTCTATCTCCTTCAGTTCTGCTCTCATTTTAGTTATTTCTTGTCTTTTGTTTGCTTTTCAATTTGTTTGCTCTTGCTTCTTTAGTTCTTTTGTGGTGTTAGTGTATCAATTTTAGATCTTTCCTGCTTTCATTTGTGGGCATTTAGTGCTATAAATTTCCCTCTTCACACTGCTTTAAATATGTTCCAGAGATTCTGGTATGTTGTGTCTTTGTTCTCATTGGTTTCAAAGAACATTTTTATTTCTGCCATAATTTTGTTATTTACTCCATAGTCATTCAGGAGCACACTGATCAGTTTCCATGTAGTTGTGTGGTTTTGATTGAGTTTCTTAATCCTGAGTTCTAATTTGACTGCACTGTTGTCTGGGAGACTGTTATAATTTCCATTCTTTTGCATTTGCTAAGTAGTGTTTTACTTCCAATTATGTGGCCAGTTTTAGAATAAGTGCAAGGTGGAATGCTGAGAAGAATGTATATTCTGTTGATTGTGGTAGAGAGTTCTGCAGATGTGTGTTAGGTCTGCTTGGTCCAGGGCTGAGTTCAAATCCTGGACACTCTTATTAATTTTCTGTTTGGTTGATCTGTCTAATATTGACAGTGGGATGTTAAAGTCTGCCACTGTTATTCTGTGGGAGTCTAAGCATCTTTGTAGGTGTCTAAGAACTTGCTTTATAAATCTGCGTGCTCCTGTATTTGGTGCACGTAGATTTAGGATAGTTAGCTCTTCTTGTTGCATTGAACCCTTTACCATTAGGTAATGCCCTTCTTTGTCTCTTTTGATCTTTGTTGGTTTAAAGTATTTTATCAAAGACTAGGAATGCAAACCCTGCTTTTTTTTTTTTTTTTTGCTTTCC